TATAGTTAAGTATTGAAAATGATACCTCTTCCTTTTGTGCGAAAAATTTACCTGGCTAGCTTTTTGCCAGTAAACTAACTACACAGTTAGCCACCTCCCGACAAAGGGATGGGAACCGACGTCCGCGTATATGAGAATAGAAGTCTAGGTGATGTGTTAGTGTACGTTTAAGACAAATTACTGTTATGCAGGATCATGCAAGTAGTTCCGTGTTTATTTAATCTTCGTTAGTCTGGGTAATGAAACGGCATAGTTACATTTACATAAAGTAATTTTATATTATCCACTTATATCATTATTAGCAAAATTACATTTACATTATTTAAAAGTAATGGCAAAATTCATTAGGTTGCTCTTCGAGTTATTTCACAAAATATTACTCAAAATTCAGCTTTCCATTGATTCTTTCTGTGTCATTATATTCTGTTTAACATCTGACACTTTAAATAATCAGGGCGATTCTTAAGCAACATAAAAATAAAGACCAAGAAAACATAATAATTACAGTAATATATTTATTATTCAGAATAAAGCGTCTCTCGTTTTCCCTACTTATGATACATTCTTAGGTCTGGCCAAGGTATCTCTAAACATACTCATCTTGATCAAAATCCTAGTTGGCAACTTCTAAGGCAAGCCCCGCCTCATCACCTTTATTCCTTGCAAATATTAGATATTTTTATTTCTTATTTTCTCGACTATTTTTTTTTCAATAATCTTTTTACCATTTGTTAACAATTTTCCAAGATAATGTACCGAAAAACACTTTCCACAAAATATCGCACAAATTGTTCGGGTCAAGAAAGGGCAGAGTTAATGACGTCACGACGTTCAGCCAATGACTAAGCGCTGACATATCAGGTACAACTAGATCCATGATTACTTATATATTTTGCTCGCTAATGTTATAATTATCAGACGTAAAATGAGAAGAATCCCCCTCTATAATTTCTGATAACAGAATATTCTGGGGAAAAAAACAATCTAATCTTTGGGTTTAACATAGAAGTGGAGCTACTTGGTTATATATTCTTTGAGTCTGGCTATGATTTCCCAATAGATCGCTAACCATAACACAAAAATGGCTAAGGCATAAAAAAACGCATTATAAAAAAAGAAAAGAAAAAAAAATGTGAAAGCAATAAAGGGCAGAGTCGAGCTCCTGACCCGACGTCGTATGCAATCTTCACCAAACTTCTAAGGACGGTTAAATAAGCAGTCTTTCATTTACCAAGAATGATACTGACATACCCACGCATCCTCATACCGGTACCTCGGAAGGGTGCCCGTATGAGGCCTATCTGTGTGTGTGTGCGGCCTATCGAATCGCTAAAAATGAAGGTTTCGAAAAAAGTGATCAAGGGCGGCACAAGAGCGGACACGTCGTCACAGGATTGCAAACTACTTGGTAAACAAGTCGTTTTCCAATGGTTTTCTCAACCTGTGACCTCGCTTTAGAAGGTGAACACCAAGTAATACCTGTTCGTGTGGACAGCTTGTAGTATATGGCACGCACGCACGTACGCGCGCGCGCGCGCGCACACACACACACACAATATATATATATATATATATATATATATATATATATATATATATATATTTATATATATATATTTGTGCACATAAAAAGTTTGCAAAAACGAAAAAAAAAAAAAAAAATCCTGGTGATGTTATATGTTACATTGTCTAACATCTGCCATATCATTTGCTAGCCAGCCCATGTGTGTTTGGATTTGGATTGGGATTGGTTTGGACTGATTCGGACTGGGATTGCAATGACTTGGGTCGAGCTGGGATTGTGATAACACTGGGATTACATTGGGCTGACACTGACATGGAATATGGTTATTTGTGGTTGGGCCTGGATTGGGATAAGACTGGACTGGGCAGTTTGGTAACAAATTTTGAGAAAAGGGCAAATGAAAATCAATATTTATTTATTTATTGAAAAATTTCTGTCACGTTAACCTCTGAGGTCATTAGTGGCTTAACAAAAATATAGAGACAGGGAGGGGCTTAAGAGCGAAGTCCCCAGGAAGGACAGTTTGTGGATTTCTAGAATGGTCAATGATTAAAACAAACAGATCAAAGGCAAAGTAATGTGCCGAAAAGGGGTAAATATGAGTTAACAATTTGGATAAGTGGACCGAAGAAGGAAATGGTAAGGGGGAGAAGAAAAGACCATTCAAGATTTTGTTGAGGCGAGGGCTGTGGTTCAAGGCAGGCCTGTTCCCCCAGTCTCCCTCTTCCAAAGCCTTTATGCAGCAGCAACAAACAAGGGATTGGAGTAGGGGGGGGGGTGAAAACTAATATCTTCATTGGCAAGAAATGTATTTGACACATTTCAGTTACTGCTTCGACTGTAATACATATAATTGAAACGCACCAGATACAGATAGTCCCCTACTTAAGAACATTCTACTTATGAACATTCCATACATACAAACAATTTTTTCTAAATACTAAAGTCCTATAAATTGTTTGAAAGATGCTAGCAAACTTCAAATTTCTCGGGCGCGAATATAGTTCACGCCATTATATCGATCGGTTCACCAGCCATCACCACTACAATATATTTATTTTTTGAATGAATTATGTTTCTACATTAAAGTTGTATGAATCACCATCAAATAATAATAAAAGCATTATATATTACAGGCACTGTATAAGGTATGTCGTACTTATCAGGATTTACTTACAGGAATTCTTAATGTAAACAAAACTTAAAAACAACTGACAAAAAGGTAATGGAGACCCGACTTTCGACATACAAACAAATCGACTTACAAACAGTCTCTTGGTCCCCATTATGTTCTTAAGTTGGGGACTTACTGTACATCTTTTGCACCGTGGAATTATTAACTTTCCTTCAAACGTTTTGCTACATAGTTTGTGAATGTTTGGGTTATTGGGTTGAGGAAGAAGTAGAAGAAGAAGAAGAAGAAGAAGAAAAAAAAGTGAAAGTAGAAGAAGTAAACAAAGACGAAGAAGTAGAAAAATTAGAAGAAGAAAAAGAAAAAGAAAAAAACAAGTAGTAGTAGAAAATTATTTTCTAAAATTGCACACAAAAAATAGGTTAAAAGAATAACTAAAATATAATTTCATAAATAGTATATCATTCACTTTATAACAGTGACACTTGATTTGCTGCAGAAGTGCTCAGCCACAAATGAGCCAATTAGTAGGTCCTACATGACCTTGCCAGTATTGCCTCTTTTTTTCTTTTTTTAATAATGTCATTATTATGGGCATTATAACTATTACAATGTTTTTAACAATACTAATAGCACTATGAAATAAAATAAAATATTCACAAAAATGAAAGAAAAGGGTAAGCTAGTGGAGATAAGTTGGACTAATGATTGGACTCACTGGAGACTAGGCACTTGTGGAGCCACCTATGTGTAAATACAGTAAACAAGTTAACATCTCTTTGGTCATGGCATGTGCTTCTATGCCACTTCTGACAGCATGGGGATAACTAGAATCTTCACCATATCAAGGAGCACAAATAAAAAACAATTTCTTTCAATAAGATTTATACACTTTGACAAAGTATACATACATATACACACTCCCTTAACAATTAGCAAATTGGAAATCTTTCTTTAAACCTTGATAAAATTGAAGATAGCACAGAACATTATAGAATTTTCTTTGCATATAATGTATATCATATTTAAGTCCCACAAAATTCAAAACTCTCCTCTCTCTATTATTTACACTGAATATCTGCCATTCAATATAAAACAAAACTATTTCCTTTGTACAGTCTACTAAATAGTGAAACGTAAATTAACCCCCGACCCCACATTGACACGCATAAATATAAT